GGGGGGGGGGGGGGGGGGCATGTCGAAAAAAAAACAATAAAAGGGAGATAACTTCTAAAGGGGATAATGAAATCCTACACAGCCTCATCTGGTAACACTTCATGATAAGGTGTATATATGGTCCAAATTTGGTCTTGATATCTCCAATAGAAATTGAGGAAGGACATGTCAAAAAAGTGCTGGAAGAAAAAAAAAACATTAGAAAAACAAGAAGGTCTTTCCTAAAGGAGTGGAAAGACCTTAAAAATACACATATCTTTTATAAGACCTAGCATTGGATATGCCGATGTTATCTGGGGTTAAGGAAATAAGACTTTAATGAATAGACTCGAAAACATCCAGCTTTATGAATAGACTCGAAAACATCTAGTTGGACGATGCTCGTATAGTTACAGGGGGGCGAAACTCACAAGTTATATAAAGAACCCCAATGGGAGAAACTTTCGGATCGAAGAAGCAACCATAAATTAATTAATTGTTTTATGAAATTGTTAATGATAAAACCCCAAAGTATTTGCAAGAATTATTGCCTGGTTTTGTCAGTGGTCGACATGATTACAGTTCAAGATAAAGAAATATTCTATTAGAGGTGAAAACCCGTACAAAACTTTATTCAGATCAGATTATTATCTTCCGTCATCCATCAAATTATGGAATCAGTTACCCTTAAGTGAAAAAAACTGTGAATCTCTTTCTGTATTTAAGAAACATATTCGTAATCAAAACGATCGAGTCCCTTTATACTATTATGCTGGATGTCGAAAACATTAAATTCTTCACGCGCGATTACGAATGTACAGTAGTTGTCTGAACTGTCACATATTTCCAAGAAATTTTGTTTCTTCTCTACAATGTCGCTATGGTGACTTGAAAACTAACTCGCATGTTTTGAAAATTATTTCGCCTATTATATGCGGACAGAAGACAAAAAATTATAATGTCATTTAAAAGTATAGAATTAACTGTACTAATTCGGCAGTTCCGGGATACGGTTTTAGTTGAATCTGTCATGTGACTTCCATCACCACGTGACCAAAATGTAGGCATCGTCACTTCCAACACATGTTGAGCAAACGGATGAAAAAATTTGATTTTATACTGCACAAAATATTTGGGAAATTAAAATCTAACAAGATGGTCACCCTACCTCATTCGTACGGGAATTAAGAGATAACTGTATTGCATTTGAAGCTTTGCGGACGTCCATCGGTAGTTTTACTGTCGCAAATTTAGTTTACCTGGCGACGCGTAGCGGAGACAGGTAAACGGGTATTTGCGACAGTAAAACTACCGATGGACGTCCGCAAAGCTTCAAATACAATACAGTTATCTCTATTCTTATGCAAAACAAGTACATATTTCAATTTCAATCTTTATTTCAGTGTAAAATTTTCATTAAAGAAAATTCCGCGAAAAGATGGTATCTTCTTTGGCCCCTAAACTAAATTAATACCTCTATGTAAGTGAAACAAATTATGTGGTATGGGCTTTGCTCATTGTTGAAGGCTGTATAGTGACCTATAGTTGTAATTATTTCTGTGTCATTTGGTCTCTTGAGGAGAGTTGTCTCATTGGCAATCATACCACATCTTCTTTTTCATATGTGTTCAGTGCAAAATACAAAAAAAAAATGGACTATTCAATAAAAATTGATATCTAAGACAGGAAATATTGGGGTTTGTCAATGAAATATCAACCCGATAAAAATAGCCAAAATATATATTGATTAAGCCGGCATCAACAGCATGCAGACAAATGTAAAAGGAGATATGGGGTAAAGATCAGTATGATGGCAGTTGTTTTCTCAAATGTGGATCCAGGATTTTGAATCTAGATAAAGTGATGCCCCCCCCACTCCACTCTGAAGTAACTGTATTAAAACAAAGTCAATGTAGGACTTTCTTTGAGATATTATTGTGTCTGGGAGACACAATTGATGCCCCCGTAGATGCAAAGTGTTATTTTAAAATAACTATAACATTTAACCGCTTATACCCCAAAAATGACAATGTTCAACTATCTCCCAAAAGAGCAAATATTAATAAAAATCAAAACCCTGACCACATGCACACCATCAATATATGTACAAACAGACATCAAAGTGAAAACTTCATAGGATTCTAACTGTAGGAGGAGTTGTGCTGAATAACTGTATATATATATATACCCATAATGGGACGGACGGACAGACAGACCGGGGTAAAATAATATGCCCCCCCCCCCAACTTTCAGTTGCAGGGGCATAAAAAGGGGTCATCAGGCCCCAAACTTGACAAAGTTTTGAGAGTAATAAAAAAATCTGGACTAACCATAAATGTAGCTCCATAAGGGCCATAAAGGAGGAACCCAGGCACCCCACTCCTAAATCTGTCTCTGATATTAAACATTGTTTAATAATATGTTTCCGAATATTTTATAAAAAGACTTGAAAGATTATGTTAGAAAACATTTTTATAATTATATTTCGTAAAACATTAAAAGATTTTTTTTAATGATTTTTTGAGAATATGAAGATTATTAAAACATTTTGTTAAAAAATATTTTTTGAACTTTTTCAAAATATTTTATCCTGCAGAAAGGAATTTTTATATGTTTTTAAATGTTTCAGGGATATTTGATTAACAAACACATTCAAATCATTTATAAGACATTTTACAAACATTGTCGTCAAAATTCAGTAACATTTTAATGATGTTTTAAAAGTATCATGAAAATGTTTTGAAAACATTTTTAACACCATACATTTTTGCATGATTTTGATATTTTTCTACAATATTTTTTCAACATTTTTCTATTTTTGTTGACCAGTGCTAACTGGGAAAGCAGTGGTGAAACAGCACCACATTAGAACAAATAATAAAATCAATTGCATGTAAACCCATTTCATCTTTTATGCATATTTATTTACAATGTATTTTTATGAAATTAGAAAGAACACAGTAAACATAGATAATTCTGGAACCAAGTTGAATTAGAAGTTTCCACGTGGAATTACATGTTTCAGATTTTTTATTCCCCTGCCACCACAGCGAAGGATGGGCATTAAGTTTTACCCTTGTGTAACATTTAGACAATACAAGGACTCTTTTAATGTGAATTCGGTTGGACGACACTTTTCTATCACAAACTACTTCCTTCTGATCTAGTTGGAATTTCCCTTTCAGAAAAGTTTGTGTGTTAATATAAGGAACTGTCTTGACTAGTAAATAAATCCTGTTCCATAATTCCACTATTTGCCATTTGTTGTCACCTTTGTCAAATTTTTTTTTACATCTGGTACTGACAGAAGTATTGACCCTCGCACTTGCAGCCACTTGGATTTTAACCATGAATTCATTTCAAACATAAAGATGTATCCCATCCATCACTTCATGGTTGGGTAAAAAGTCTGTTATCCATGATGGCTTCTAAAATATTAAAACAGGAAACCACAAAGCATCATGTTATTTAATAAACTGCAGGTTCAGAAATTTTTCTTATCATTCATAAAGGACAAGCGTTTAATGCGGGGATGTGTGTGATGTTTTTTTCTCACAAAAAATACTCTTGATTTCCAACTTTGAAGAATTAAAAAAAAATGTTCTGACAGCTTTTGCCATAAGTTTAATGTAAAGTCCTTAGAAAATTCAGACTTTATTGCGACAAACAAATAAAAAAATTATGCTCATGTGTACCATGGTTTTTTTTAGAATGCTATATAGGGATTGTCATATTTCCCAATATATTTAGTTCTCTTCCTTTCATGCATTGTTTTGTCAGGGAAATATATTTCACTTGCTATAATTAAGTGCACAACATAATTATTATTTCTTATTTACAATGCAAACAAAGGTAAAAGGGTGAAAAAATGTGAAGACTAGGAAAAAACTTACAAAGTGTGAGGGTATATTTGAAGAATAAAATACATCCCTTTGTCATCCCCCTATTTTAATAAATAATAACCTGTCAAATTATTGGGCTGTTTAATCGAGAAAAAATAAAACAAAGAGGTTTAATAATGTACTAAATAAAAGAAAAATATAAATACATAATAACCTAATCCTGTTGTTATATAATCTCCTGGCATGACATGGTTATCAGCTGGTTATGGCAAACTTGTCGAATTTTCCGCCGGGTTTCCCTAGATATTTTTGATGGGTGGATCAACTCTCTTGATGCCTTCTCTCCATTTCAAAAGAATTTCATGGTCTTTTAGGAATCTGTGGTCCCCCTTTAGAATAATTGCAGTAGGGGACACAACAATTTTGAAGCTTAGTTTGGTGAAATTAGCGAGTGTCGATTGTGGTTACTAATGTAAACATGTGCAACGTAATGCGATTCAAGCGTCCAAGTGATTAAAACGTTTCCGACAACCACTTATGGAACACCAGCGACGTCTACAGGAAGAAATATTACGAATGATCCCTATTTAAATTGTGACGTCAATCACGTGCAGTCTATGAACTATTTGAATTAGAATATGGCTTTGCTTCCAAAGCGAAAGAAGAACTTCATATTAGAAATACAATTCAACAAGGAGACAGGTGGTATTAGCACTTGTTGCTTGTTTCTGAATCCTTTTTGCCACAATATGAATTAATAGTGTATAGGATGTATTTAATTCCTAATAAATTATTGTTTACACAAAGTTTTTGGAAATGCTCTACATTTATGTATATCTTAAAAGGAAGACCAATAAAGATATCTGCAAAAATTGCATTTTGTATTTTACAAAAAAATCTTCTTGAACTATTTGATAATACATGTATATGATAAAAATCGGATGCATCATCGGATATATCATAAACCTATGAATGGTGAAGTTGTTCTAAAGGATCTTAGTATTTGAAAAATGTTTACGACGCAAGACGATCGACCATTCTCGAAAGTACTACGAAAGAACCAAGTTGCCCTTTAAGCCAAATTAGCCAAAAACTGCTTTTTTCGGTTACATATAAATAAATGAAAGAAAAAAATATGTAGCGATGTGAATTTTTAGCCACCGATTAATATTTATTTACCAGTAATAGTCCATTTCACCAATCGATATAAAGATACCAATAAAGCTAGTCCAATTATGCAAGTGGAGATGGCTAAAGTAATATCTTCTATTTCAAGTACCATTCTACAAAAGTTAAATAAAAAATATTTGCTATGTTTAAACAGTATGGCAAAATCTTAAAATAAAACTATTTGGCCCTGAAGTAAACACCTTTCTTTATTTTTTTGAAATGACAAACTTGTTTAAACCGGGCAGCATGTTGTAAGTCAGTAGACTGTTATTTAGTTGTATTCGTTGGTCTGTCATATTTTTGTTCGTCCTTTGTTTTGTAATTAATCACGCCGTTGCTTTTACATTTTTGAATTAGGTTACATATTTTTGCTGTCGAGGTCTTTTGTAGATGACAATAGTGTATGAGTTTTTCGAATTGCTAAATGTTTGACGGTGACCTATAGTTGATTCATTCACGTTCATGTGGACAATGTTAAATACGTGTTCCATTGGCACCAAATGGCATTAATGAAAAAGTGTAGTTCATATAGCGCAGTGCAAACCACAGCAACTGGAAGTGTTATTTTCTTTTTTGATGCACACATACGCCTTAATTTGCGTTAACTTTGATATTTGAGAATTATGCAAGTGTGGTGCCCTTTCTAATTTTATTACATTTTGAATGTTTTCTTGGCAAGTCAGCATTTATTGATAAGATTAATTTTACATCATACTGATGAAGGATATCAGCTATCCGAAATAGATGTTGATATTTGTATTTCCTTTTTCCTTTTTTAATTTTGTTGTTGTTGTACACTTTCATGGCGTATATTTATTTTATTTATTGTGTACAACATGAACAATATCGTTTTTTTCATAACGATCCAACTCCCTCCTTTTAGATACACACATGTATATATATAATACGCACAAAAAGTGTACAAAACAACACCAATTTTAAAAAAAGAAAACAATAAATATAAGTCTATAAATATTTCGGATAACAGATATCCTTCATCGGTATGTTGTAAAATTAATCTGATCAATAAATGCTGATTTGCCTCGAAAACACCTACAACGTAATCAAATTAGATTAATTATGATATAATTATATATATATTAATAATGATGATGTAAAATGAATCATATCAATCTATTCTGATTTAACTTAAACAGTCTTTAACGTTATAAAAATAAAAAACCAAACCACGCTTGTATAATTCTAAAATTTCAAATAAAATTGAGAATGGAAATGGGGAATGAGTCAAAGAGACAACAACTCGACCAAAGTGGAGCAGAAAACAGCCCAAGGCCACCAATTGGTCTTCAATACGATTTACATTTTTAATTATATATATCTGAACATGAGTTGTTTATAATTTTTTTAATATATATGTTTATTTAAGCAAATTTCAATCCTTTGAAAAAGAGAGAAAGAAGATACCGTAGGGACATTCGAAAACCACAAGTCCAATAAACACAGGCACTACTATAGCAAAAAAAAAAAAAAAAAAAAAAAAAACGACGACAAGACAAACAACAATATCAAAAACACAACATAGAAAACTAAAGACTGGGTAATACAAAAAGTCTAAACAGTTGGAAAGTCCAGAGTGCATTATGTTAAACTTGTCGATATTACAAATATGAAAAATTCTTACATTAAAATTAAATATTTTTCAACGGTGTAAATACTTATAGGTGATTTATTATTTTTAACGGAACAAAATTGGAAATAAATTTTTTTTTACTTGCTTTACTCTTTATTCATGTTTACGTTGGTAGTGTCAAATACACCTATAAAAAGGAATTAACAAAAATACCGTACTCCAAGGTTAATTCAAAAATGAGTAAGTCTATAAAACCTCGCAAAATCAAACGTCTGAATATATCAACCAACAGAACGAATGGAAAACAACTGTCATATTCCAGACTTGGTACAGGCATTTTCCGAAGAAACTGGTGGGTAAAACGTGATTTTATAGCAAGCTTAACCCCCCACTTGTATGTAAGTTGTTAATAGTTTCATTTGATATCACTGTCCTTGGCGTAAAAGCCACAAAACGAGACAAAATTAAGCAAATTGGTATTTAAGACATTGAAAAAAAAGACGAATAATACCAAAGGGACATTCAAGCTCATGAGTCGAAAATAAACTGACAACACCATGGCTAAAAAAGAAAAAGACCGACAAACAAAGAACAGTACACAAAACACAACATAGAAAACCAAAGACTGCGTAACACGAACTCCACCAAAAACGGGGGAGGGGGCGGACCTCAGGTGCTCCGGAATGGTAAGCAGATCCTGCTCCACATGTGGCACCCGTCGTGTTGCTCATGTTAGTACAAACCTGGTGATAAGTCTAATTCGGTATGTCACGTTTGCGGAAAAGGGGACGGGATTGTAATTACGACAATTGGAACATATCTGCTGTCATCTGTGAAACAGATATTCCATAACGGTTAGCCAACTCGTGATAGCGTCCGTAAAATTTACGAAAGGATGATTTCAACTTCACCATTTGGAACTCTTGGTTTTTATAGCGTCCTTGTGCGCAGCAACCCTCTATCAAAGAAATCATTATAGGAAGTACAAGCCCTGGAATATCATATCAACTGGGAAATATATACTCCGTATGCAGGCGCTGCTGGAATGTTGCTACATAGAACTACAAATTTCACAATTGGGAAGCCGAATTCATTTCTTTTGTCGTAAAGGTTTGTTTTCGACTGACCTTCATTTTCAATTTCTAGATGTGAGGCAGACTTAACTGTATCTGTTGTATCCTTTATCTGAAGTTCGATGGGATAGATGCGATCAACATAGTCAACAAATTTTGAAACATTTAGTGAGAAAACATCATCTATATAGCAGAAGTGAAGTTAAAGGATACTTCTAACTTCTTTTTTTTCTTCCTAAGAAGTTCCGGTATGAAGTCAGCCTCATATGAATAAAGGAACAAGTCGGCAAGAAGAGGAGCACAGTGTGTTCCATCGGAATGCCGATTGTTTTTTGAAAACGTAACAAATATCAGATTCAGAGAATTTATTGTTTGATTTTTTACAAAGTACGATTTATTTATCCCTATGACAAGATACTTGTATTTACGGTAGTCATTTTTTATGAAACAAAACAGGACCAACGCTTTCAATATGTCTTTTAGTTTGGAATGAAGAATACTTGTGTAAAGTATAGAAAAAGTCAACTAATTAAAAAAGAAACACACACCATTCCGTCTCAACTACTGAGATTTCGTAGTACACCGCTTTATTCATAAATGTCTATTTCATATTCGAGCTTGAGCGGGTCATTTTCCTGTGTTATACAATATATGGCAATACTCCTGGTCATATTTAGGGAATAAGGTAATTTCTTTTCTGCCATATGTGTCAATACCCACACTATCTTAATTTTCTTCTTTTTAAATAAGACATAGGACAAAAATGTTATGTATGATAGTAGTACATATACTTGCTTTTCAATTTTAGAATTTGAAGTCAAATATTTGCATGACAATCTTCCATTTGCGCTTGTTAAAAGTATCCATTGCAACCGTAATTTTACATCAACTTTATGGAAAATCAGTAGCCTTTTTGAAAAGTTATTTAAACAGCTATTTCCAAGTGTTTCAAAATTATTTTGTTATTTTTAACACTGAAGTTATTCGTGAATCAATAAAAAAATGTCATACTCATACATTCACCCATATGGCCTCAATGTTGACTTCCTTCACACAAAAGAAACACGGAATTATATTTTTTTCGTTGAGATTTGGAGGTATTTCCCTGTAATATTGTTATACTATTGAAATGTTCAAAATTGACGGGTAGTAACTACGACTGAGTCGATACTTATTGATTGATAAAGTGTATTTAGTTGTTTTAATATTGTCGATATTGTGTCTTATGACTTATTGCAATTTATTCCACTATACTTTTTGCAGATGTATAAATTTTTGCAAATGATCGGTGGCAGTAAATTTTACGTTATATATCATAATAATATTTTGTTTGATTTCAGTTCATTTATATGTATGGGAATTTTTTTTGTACTAAAAAAGAGAATATTGTTGTTATTATATACATTGGATAATTATGTTGCTAGAGAGAAAGAAGTTACTGAGAGCAACCCAATATGTATACCTACATTTTTGTTTTATTTATAACATGGATTTTAATAAAGAAATGCTTTAAATTCGAACGAGGATGGCTAAGGAGAATTTAGATTCTATTATCTCCCTTTTGTGTAGTGTTAAGTAGTATGTAACGTAATGGATATGAACGCTAATTAACACTTTACCGGATATTGGCAACTCGAAACCAGATATTAGTAACATGTATAAAAAAAATGTACCTTAAGGAGTCTGTTTGGCTTAGCAACAAATGTCATGTATTATGGTATAAATGACCTTCTTTAGACTTCCAGATTAATTCCGAACTAAGCACTTTTGGGGTCAATGTGTTCACTGTGGTTCCCTCTACATGCCAACTACAGCGAGACACATCTATCAGCATCCCTCGGTCTCCCAGGTCAAGAAATAGGACGACAAAACGCCAGAAGTATTTTGCACCTGATGATGAACTTTGGGGCAGATTCCCACCCATCCGCACACACCTCCTCACCCAAACCACCCTGCCCCGTGGTCCCCTGTCTGAGCTTTAATGGAATCAATATGCATCAACAGCAGGGTATACCTCATTTGCATATAATTTGCATATATTAACAAATAAACGAAAATTAGACAATTTCGAAAACAATTCAGCATGATAAGAGTAAATATATATATATAAAAACTGTACCTCAAGGAGTCTGTTCGGCTTAGCAACACCTGTTATGTATCATGGTATAGTATGCACACTAGACATCGTTTCGTCTTTAAAGAGTCATACATCTGAGAAAAAGAAGTGTGGAATAAATTACAAGAAGTCATATGATACAATATCGACAATATTAAAACAATTAAGTGCATACTTCTTTGATGAATAAATATCGACGTATGGCAATTAAGATATATCTATTAATATATGCAAACTGCAAGTCAGTTTCAAATAAAAAAATATAATGAGAATGTCATAGTGTTCCATGATTGTATGAATAACATGAGATATATTTTATGTGTCAATAAAGCAGCAATCCAAAGAAAAAAAAGTATATTAGAAGCAAACAATAGACATGTGTATTTTCAAAATGTTTACATTTATAAATCACTTTTATTCAAAATTTGTTGTTCTCTTTTGGTCGACCTTATAAAAGAAAATTGATAGAATAACTTAACAAGCAAGGACTTTCTTGAGAATTCAATAATAACTGATATTTTTAACCCATGTTAGTTCTTTACCAATATGATCGATCCACAACGAAACAAGAGTTCACACGCTAAAAAGTCTCTCCTATTGTAATATAAGATTTATTTAAAGGGCAATGCATGCGTCCAAACTAACCCAATTGTTCAAATGTATTCATGTAAAGTCAAACTATAGAATGCCTAAAAAATAATGACAAACTGTCATTTTTTTTATTAGTTGTTATTGGCTTTGAACTAGCTGTCAGTAACTACGAGTAATCCCAGATCTGTACTTAATGTCTTTTTTGTTGGTAGGGATGAGTGATCATATATACCCTGCCACGTCCTTTTGTGTTTTTGTTCTTTGTATGGATCTGATGAGTTAATATAAAATAAGGAGATGAGGTATGTTTGCCAATGAGACAACTATCCACCAAAGTTCAAATAAAGTGGATGTAAGCAATTATAGGCAACCGTATGGCCTTAAACAATGAGAAAAACCCATACCGTATACATGTAGCCGGCTATAAGAGGCCCCGACATGAAAAATATGAAACAGTTCAATTGAGAAAACTGACGGCCTAATTTATAACAAAACAATTAACGAAAAACAAATATGACAGACATGAACCAACGACAACCACTGAACTACAGGCTCCTGATTTGGGACAGGCACATAAAGAATGTGGCGGGGTTAAACATTTTTGGGAGTGCTCAACCCTCCCCTTACATATCTGAGAGTACTCGCAGTTACTGAAAGCTAGTTCAAAGCTAATAACAACTAATAAAAAAAAATCATGTATCTAAGACTAAAATATCAATCAGTACACATCCAACATCCAATGGATTTAGTGTAAAGACGTCATTAATAGTCAGAGAAAAACATGACCTTGTGCAATGCCGAAATAAAGGATCGACAGATTGTAGTATCGTTAAAGTGCATATGTTTATAACAAAACTATTAGTATGATTTTTTGTTCAAAACAAAACCCAAAATTTAATTTGCCGTTGCTAGAGATATACACTCAATTTGTAATTCTGTGTATTTTCTTCTTTTGTATAATTAGAAGGTAACCGCATATTCTAGTGCCTGTCCTAGGCCAAGAACCTCGTCAGTGGTTGTGTGGCATGTGTGTCAAAAACTGAAGTTTTTTTTTTATAAGGAGTATTTGTTTTTAACCACAACTTTGATTGTTTCCATTTAATTTATTCAAACATTTATAGACTTTTGACTATTTAGAGCTTGACATGTTGTATATTCCACTCTAACTGTTGTTTGTTTGTTTTTTGTCGTTTGGATGCTGTCTCAATGACGTATATGTCACATCTCCCTTTATTCATAATACAGAGATTTACCGTATACATTTTACACATGCAGTATTCCATATGTATGTAAAACATGCCTTTTAGTTAACTTTATAAATGTGATGTATATCACGGTTGAAGCACACTTTACACGTATTTCTTGAGTATACAATATTTACTAAATGAGATACACAAATATTAAAATTATTAAAAAAATACATGTGAGGATCACTTGATTTTCGCATTTCGCACGATTTGCACATGCATTAATTACACATAAGACATTTGCTTGTATTGGCCTTCTGAAATGTACATTTTGAAGGGCAATATATAACCCTTAATTCATGGCTGGATGTCAAAAACGTTTTTGTAATTATAAACCAAAACAGAATAAACTTTTTTCATTTAAACATTTTAACAAATGTCACAATGAAAGAATCATATAAGTAGATATAAGAAGATGTGGTATGAGTGCCAATGAGACAACTCTCCATCCAAGTCAAAATTTATAAAAGTAAACCATTATAGGTCACAGTACGGTCTTCAACACGGAGCCTTGGCTCACACCGAACAGTAAGCTATAAAGGGCCCCAAAAAATTACTAGTGTAAAACCATTCAAACGGGAAAACCAACGGTCTAATCTATATAAAAAACGAGAAACGAGAAACACTTATGAACCACATCAACAAACGACAACTACTGAACATCAGATTCCTGACTTAGGACAGGTGCAAACAAATGCAGCGGGTTTAAACGTTTTAATGGTACCAAACCTTCACCCTTTTTCTGAAACCTATATTATGCAATATTTGAGAAACGTCTGTAATGCAAATGGTCCGTTTTACAAAAGTTACCTCAACCGCTTACAGCTTCAGTATCACACATGTTTTATGTGCGTGTAGTACAATATGTACCACGTTCGTGATATGCTCGTAGCTATGTTAGTATATCACCAACATGGACATCAAAGGAATAGCAAGATCTGTCATGTTGTCATTTTTCACTGAGGGAGTTGGAACGATAGTTAATAATCTCTAAATCTATAAACAGGGAATTTGAGATACATATGCACAAAACTGCGTATGGAAAAAAAAACATATTAAAACTAAGGAGAATATTCTGATGTTTCTTTTATGTACAAATTGCTCCAACAGATTTATGAAGAGGAAGGACTAAAATCGACATTGGGATTTTCTGGCTGCGAAGGATCAATTGGTGGCCACGGGATGCTTTCTGCTCTTTGGTCGAGTTGTTGTCTCTTTGACACATTTCCCCGTTTCCATTCTTTAAAATTCTATAAACATACGTTTTACGGTACTGTCCACCAGCGGAGATTTCGAAATGGTGATGATAAAGGCGAGAATAGTAACATTTTATCAAAGTACAATAAATCTGTTTGACCTTCCAATAAAATCTTGAACATGTTTGAAATTCGGATATTTCTTTCATTTGAAAGTTCGAAATTTTCATAAATGAAGAGTTTTATATTTAAAATATAGTTTTCGTGAAGCAAATGAGGAACATGGATTAAGGATTCTCTTTGAGAAGTACATTTCGAGCAAACAATAAGGAAATGATAAACATTCTCAATGTTTACGACACAATGTCAGGAAGGATCCGTTATTATGTTAGCTCTGAAAAGGTCAAAGTTTAAGAATGATGCAGAACAATTGTGTTTTGATAATATCAAATTCCTCGTAAGTTTCTAAAGATGATACGTTGCAGCTGTAGTTAAGAGACTTTAATTTTTTCACTTCTGTCTAAAATTTAGATATAGAATCGACATTCCAAATTTACAGATAAAGCTTGTTTTTTTTTTCATTTTCGTGTTGTGGTAGGCAAGAAAGGAATCAGGAGTTAGGGAAGTATACAACTTGGAACAATTATATCTGCGCCATATTGCAAAGGATAGAGTACTTCATTGAATTGGAGATCAACACCAACATCTTTTAAGTACGAAAACAATTTATTTCTATTTTGACTCGCTTACTTTTAAAAGCAGAGTGAAATAATAGTTGTAATTTGTATTATATGTACACACACAATAAAATACAATGTCAGTATTACCTGTCCGCTTTTTAAAATCTAAGTGAAATGACAAACGGTAAATGAAAAATTAGTACAATACCATCACTTCACAAAAACTCCGAACTCTTTAATATCAATATATTATAGACAACAAAATCAGATAACAGTTAAGCATTTTGAACTAAAAGCGTATTAGAGAATATTTGAAATCACCGAAAGGAAAATGAAATAAAATTTAAAAGAATTGTGAAAATAAAAATTTAGCCACCAAATAAAACATCAACCCAGTGTAGTTAAACACAAATTTTATTTATCTGACAGACCTAACGAAATAAACTTGTATGGATGAATATTGGTCCGTGTATATTTGCGTCCATTCGTTTTTCGTTTTGAAAAATCAAAATCAAAAAAACAAAAAAAGAAAGTGTTATCGTTTTTCGTTTTTGATATCTTAAAACAAAAATTAAAAAACGGAAGTGTTTTCGTTTTTCGATTTTGATATCACAAAACAAAAACGAAAAACAACATTTTGTTTCAATTTCTGTTATTAGTTCTAGGTTTTCTCTCTTGTGTTTCAGATTGTGTTTCATAGTCGTCGATTTTGAAATTCGTCAATATTGTTCGTATTCATTTACACAACATCAACATGATGACGATGATATCACAAAAACAAATACGAAAAACTACATTTTGTTTCAATTTCTGTTTTTAGTTTTATGTATTTCTCGTTTATATATTAACTATGTTTATATATTGTGTTTCATAGTCATCGAAATTGAAGTATGTCAATGTAGTTCGTCTTCAATTACGCAATAATAACATGTTGACGTCAAATTTAATGTAGACAAAATAGACCGCCTGACTTATGAATTGAAATAAGGCGATTAATGAAACAAAGACTTTCAAATTTTCTTGTTTTTATCTATCATAAGATATAAAATTGTAATATTTAAATATTAAATGGATTACAAATTTAAATTATACAATGAAATATACTATAAACATGGTGAAAATATATTATTTCATTACTATATCACATTAACAAGTGAAGTTACTACCTAACTGACAGGAAAATTAGTCCGGCCGTAAAAGAATACACAGCGGCTATCAGATCATTAGTATTTACATCGGGGTTTAAGTTGACGAATGGAAAAGACTTTAACAATCTTAACAATTAGGGTGCATGATCTATACTTTTAAGTTTTGAAAGGTTAGTATAATCGAAGATGATTAGAATTGATGAATAAGGTCTATCAGCAAATATTACAGGAAC